TTATTGACTAAAACAATGTGTCCCCCTAATACTTGTCCAATCATGAATGATGTAGAGCATTCAAATAATTTCTCCTTTTACAAAAAGTCCATTTTATTCAAAAATTTAAATATAATGGGTTGAGTGATTTAATTGTTGTACTGCCTAATCATGGAATAAAAATTCAATACAACGGTAATACATACAACGATGATACCATGTTATTAGTGATACGTGACATCACCCATCAAATAAAATCCTTACATGGAAGGGATGAACCCTTTTTTTGGGATGATAGTGATATCATGTCATTAGTATCACCGTTATATTTAATTTAAATTTTTTTCCCAACGATGATTGAATCATGGCCTAGATTATAAATTCTGAATAGTTTTTTTGATTTATTGGTAAATTATACAAATAGTCCCTGTAGTTCACACGATGTGTCAACTTAGCTTCTATTGTTTCAATTTTTTCGATTTTGCCCCTTAATTTAATGAATTGTGTCATTTTAGTCTAATAAATAAAGATTGTTAAGTTTGGCGGACGGAAAGTCAAACTATGTGTCAATTTAGTCCCTATAGTTTACACAGTGTGTCAATTTCTGTTATTTATTGGACTAAATGACACAATCTGTTAAATTAAGAGGCAAAATCAAACAAATTAAAATAACAAGAACCAAATTAACACGTTGTGTAAACTAAGGGACCATTTAGTTTACACATTGTGTAAACTAAAGGTTTCTTTTTGCTGTTTCCAAAAAAAAAAAAAAAAGTGACCATTTATATAATTTACCCTTGATTTATTTAAGTACCGTTTTAGTTAACTAACTTGATGACAGCGTGTAATAAAATCGTGTGTATGTGAGAGTATTCATTTATTTATGATTTCAAAATCCAAACTCAATTGGGATTAATTTTAGGAAACCTTTTCCTAGAAAAAGTACCATTTCCTATTTATGATTTCAATCTCACTATGTATTATTTATGATTTCAAAATCCATACCCAATTGGGATTTATTTTAGGAAACCTTTTCCTAGAAAAAGTACTATTTCCTATTTTTGATTTCAATCTCACTATATGTATATGCATATGTATATATATACATAACCATTCCATTTGTTTTTCAAACCTTACTTGCCGTACCATTGCTCTATTCCTTCTTTGTTGTGAAAGAGAGAAAGAGATGGTGAGTGTTTTTTTTTTTTTGATCGGCAAAGAAAATCTTTATTGATGAAACCAAAAAGGTAAAAAGATTACATCAATAAAGAGGAGCTTGGGGCTAAAAGCCCCAAGCGCCAGTTGGTAAGAAACCAACAAGAAAGAGGAAGAAAAAGATAACAACCGAAGCAAAACACCCAGAAAAAAAACACAGCAGCAGCCAATTGTGCTATCCAGAAATTAAAACATAGCAGCAGCTTCAATTGAGAGGCTTTGTTTTCCAAAAGCATAGTGATCACAGAAGCAAAATCACAGAAGTTATAACCCATAACTTGAACAATAAACCAGCCAGATGATCACAGAAATTGAACAACCAAACCTCCTTCCCTTCTGATGATCGCAGAAACTAAACAACCAAACATCCTTCCCTTCTGATGAAAACAAGCCAACTTTACTACTTATGAAACAGAAACAGAGTCCTCATACAGGATCAGACTCCTCAATTAAGTAGAGTCCTCAATTAAAGCAATGGAGTGATGGCATGAAGTTGAGATGCAAAATAGACTTGGGTAAAGGTCTTCAACTCTCCCACAGTCGTAATCTCCTTGAGTAGGATTGAAGTAACCATCTGTATTATATAAGTACACCAGCCCAACTCACCCACAGACCAGGCAATTCAAAGCAGAACAAACCAGAAAAGGCAGCAGACCAAAACAGCAGCAGAGGAATTCAGCAGCATAGCACACCAGATGGTTACTTCAATCCACAGACTCAGATGAAGCTTCTAACAGACCAGATAAGGCAGATAAACTCCTCAATTAAAGACTCCTCAATTAAAGCTTCTAATAGCTTCTAACAGACTCCTCAATTAAAGCACACCAGCCAAACTCACCCGAAACAACACTAGAACAGACCAGATAAACTGAACAGAAGACTCAGATGAAGCTCCTAATATTCCTCCAATTGCAAACTAGATCTGAAACTGAGAAGGGAAAGTCCTTGATAGAGGCCTTAAGCCAACAGGCTAACCTGATTTTGATTAGTTCCCACAGATCCACTGAATTAGGATGGGCATTGGAGAATACACAATCATTTCTATGCTTCCAAAGAGACCAAAGGACAACAAAAGGAATGGCTCTCCAAATTTTGGCAATACAGCCCCTAAACTTCCTACTCAACCACCAGTTAAATAAGTCTGCTACAGAGTATGGGATGCACCATTGGATCCCCCAGCCAGATAACACAGCAAACCAAATGGACCAAGAGAAAGGACAATGAAGTAAAGCATGATTGGCAGATTCAGGGGCAGATTTGCAGAAGATGCAATAAGATGATGTATTGGAGCCTAGGATGCCAAGGTTGTGAAGGAACACTACAGTTTTAACTTTATTTTTCCAGGCTAGCCATCCAAAGAAAAGGACTTTTGGAGGTAAGGAGTTGCACCAAATAAATTTGGTTATGGTAAGATCAGGCCCCAGGAGAGATATGCTAAATGAATAAAGAGAAGAGGCAGAGAAAGGACCTGAACCAGTTGTAGCAGGGATCCAGACCAAACAATCAACACATCCAGTGGTTAAAGAGGGAGCAGAGGCCAACAAGCTAAGCAATCAAGAAACATCAGGCAGTTCCCAAGTATACAAGGCTCTTTTGAAGTTGAAGTTCCAATCAGTATCACTGGTTTTCCTTGCAAGGAATTGTTGAAGAGAACCTTCCTTATCAACAGAAAGGTTGAAAAATGGTGGAAATTCATCCTTGAGGCAAGTTGATCCACACCACTTATCGTACCAAAATCTAATTCTATAGCCATCTCCCACCTTGATTTGCTAGCTTAGAAGGAAAAAGTTAAAGATATTAGTACTATGATCCCCAATGAAAAGAATGTCCCTCCACACCCTAGAGAGTTTGTAGGAGGATATCACAGGAGGATGCCAACAATTTACCTCGATCTTGTATTTACTACAAATGATTCTCCTCCAAAGTGCATTAGTTTGAGTGCCAAATTTCCACCACCATTTGATAAGCAAGCAAGCATTGACATCCCTGATTCTCCTGATGCCTAGGCCCCCTTAAGCAACACTCTTGGTTACATCTAACCAGTTCACCAAGTGAATTTTCCTTTTGAGCCCATCACCACCCCACAGAAAGGCAGCTTCAATTTTCTCCACTTCACGAGCTACACCATCAGGCATCTTGAAGAGAGAAAGGTAGTACACGGGTAGACAAGATAGGACAGATTTGATGAGGGTTAGTCTTCCAGCAAAGGACAACATTTTCCTCATCCAACCTGATAGTCTTGCTCTAATAGTGTCTAGGACAGGTTTCCAAGTAGATTTGCTACCTGGATTGGAACCTAATGGCAGCCCAAGAAATTTCAAAGGCAATGAAAGCACCTTGCAATTCAAGCAACTTGCAAAGTTTTGGAGTGACTCTTCAACCACACCTACTCCGCAAACCACACTTTTGAGGTAATTAATTCTGAGCCCGGATAGAACTTCAAAGCATCGAAGCACTCTTTTGATGATAACCGCTTGATCTATATCTGCTTCACAGAAGAGAATAGAATCATCCGCAAACTGGAGATGTGATACAAGGACCTCACTAGCCCCAACCAGAACACCTTTAAGGAAACCAAGATTAATAGCTCTGGTGAGAAGGATATTGAGCCCTTCAGCCACTATGTTGAATAGGAGCAGTGATAATGGGTCGCCTTGCCTAAGGCCTCTTTGCGGAGAGAACTCATTAGTTGGAGATCCAGTGACAAGTACGGAGATACAGGCTGAAGACACACAAGTTTTTATCCAGGAGATCCACTTAGAACCAAATCCAAAGCTTGACATCATAGAGAACAAGAATTCCCAGTTGACTGAATCAAAGGCTTTCTCAAAGTCCAGCTTGATGATTAACCCCTGCCTCTTGGCCTTCTTCCATCCATCAACAACCTCATTAGCGATAAACACCCCATCTAGGATGTTCCTGCCCCCTATAAAAGTTGTCTGGGTCTCACCTATGATTGAAGGCATCACAGGCTTTAGCCTCTGCACTAAAACTTTTGCTAAAATTTTGTATAGAAAGCCCACCAAGCTAATGGGTCTATAGTCAGTCAGATCAATAGGACTATCTAGCTTGGGAATGAGGGTAATGAAAGAGCTGTTGATACCATAGGTAAGCTTGCTATGTTTGTGAAAGTCACTAAAGAATTGCATGATCTCATGCTTCATGACTTTCCAGAATTTCTGATAGCACAATAGATTAAACCAATCCGGGCCTGGAGCTTTGTTGCCATTGCTCTCTTTAATGGCTGCCCAAACTTCTGCTTCAGTGAAATTAGGTATCAAACAGTGAGATACAAGACTATCCTCAATTACTTTGAACTCCCCTCCCAAGGTAGGCCTGTTAATCCAAAATTCCTGGAAGTGGTTCTTGAAATGGCTGAACACCTCATGTTTGACCCTATTAGGTTCTTCATGAGAAACACCATTGGCTGAGATAGAATTAATCATGTTTCTACTTTGAAGGGAACTTGCAATTATTTGAAAAAACCTAGTATTTTTATCCCCTTTAAGAGCCCAATTCAGTCGGAACTGTTGATGCCATAGCCACTCCACCCTTCTATAGAGCTTCCACACTTCACCTCTGACTCTTCTTCTTCTAGCCTTTTCAGAATGTAGCAATTCTCTTCCTTCCACAGTGATGTCAAGGTCATGCAATTCCTCCTCTGAAGCCTTAAGTTTGGTTGAAACATTTCTGAACACTTCGGTATTCCATTTCATTAGTTCTAGCTTTAAGTGTTTTAGTTTTTGTTGGAGTATAAACCCAGCCCAACCCACAAAACTAGAATTCCCCCAGCAGGTAGTAAATAGTTATGCAAATTTGGGATGCAAAGTCCACCCATTGATAAACCTGAAAGGTTTGGGGCCCCAATCTCTTTCATCTTCCATCATTAAGAGGGGACAATGATTAGATATAAGACGAGGCAGCCCCCAGAGTTTTAGTTTGAAGTGAATTAACCACTCAAGGCTCAACAACACCCTGTCAATTCTGCTCCAATTCTGAGATTCTTGAGTATTGCACCAAGTATATTTCCTACCAAGAAGAGGAAGGTGATTTAATTCTGCAGAATCTATGAATTCATTGAGCTGTTGCATGCCTCTGTCTCTTCTGGAGCAACTTACTCTCTCACCCATATGTCTTATTTCATTAAATTCACCCCCCATGCACCAAGGGTTGGAAAAGTAGACCTTAAGATTGAGTAAAGTGTTCCAAAAAGAGGATCTACTACTGACATCATTAGGAGCATAAACATTAAGTAGGACACAATGAAAGGAGTTATATAATGTACCAGAAAGTAGGATAAACCTCCTGTTGCAGTAGCTGCCAGATAATTGGAAAACATCTGGGTCCCACATACATAAAAGCCCTCCTGCAGTACCTTCTGGATCCACAGACAGAAACTCCATTTTCCTTTGACCCCAAAGCCCTCTAGCTAAATTGTCTGATACTACCAACTTCTTTGTTTCTTGAAGGAATACAATATCAATGTGCCTATCTTTTAGTAGCCTTTTGATTCTTCCCCTCTTCTCAGGCTTGCCTATCTCTCTCACATTCCAGGATAAAAGCTTCATAGTTAAACAAAATGACTCCCTATTTGGCCCCAGTACACTACTTTCACTATTAGGCCTTTCCATCCCTTATAAGCCTCTCTTTGTCCTTAAGTTCAAGCACAATAAGCTTATCCACCACACCATTTTCCTGCCCTTGGAAATTAATTTCCAGATCTTTCCCCAATTTGACAGTGGCCTGCGCTTCCTTAAGAAGATAGCTGTGCGAGCTTGTGTCACCCTCAGTTAGCTCAAAGCGTACAAGGGCCACTGCTATTGGCCTGAAGATAATGGACTTAGAGGAGTGCCTATAGATAGCTGTAGATTTATGGCCATAATGACGAGAAAACCGTGAGAACCCCTCCATGTGCACCTTCTTTTTCCCAGCTTTCTTGGCATACTGATGAGGGTTGAGTATGGGGTCAGGACAACGAACTGGGCCTTTTGCATGTAAACTCTTAGTGCCCAACCCATGTGAAGTAGCAGGTGGATAAGGCCCAAATTGTAGTGAAGGATAAATGCTTGACCAGTTACCTTGAAATTCAGGCAGCAATAGAGTTGGGCCTTGCACTATATACTCATTAATTCCATGGCTTGGGCCTTGAGCTATATGATCACAATTCGGATGGCCTAAATTGACCTCCAAATTAATTCCAGGCCCAAACTCATCTATGGACCCACTCAGACTTTTGAGCAAACCCGGTGATGAAGCTTGCTCAACACACCTCTGTGGATGTTTGTCACACGATTGACAGGGTGGACGCTCCTCCATCATTGCATCTTTCACCCCTACTGCAGTAGGTCTGCTGCACAGGGAATCCTCAACCACTGTGCCCACCATCGCAGTACCGTTGCAGTTTGAAAGTTCCTTCCTTTGCGTCACGTTAATGGAGGAAAGGATCGCAACACTAGACCGATTTGCAGCTGTATCAACTTCATCATTCCTTTTGCAAGCCCCATCTGTGAATACGTTTTCTTCAGCTCTGCTTAAGACCACATTGGAGCTGTTATTGCTGTCACCCAGCCTTATGTTACTGAACTCATTACACTCCAATGGATTGGCCGAATGATCTTCACAAACAAAAACTGGGTGTAACTTACCCTTACATTCCAGATTTATTGTCTTGTTGATAAGCTCCAAGCATGTTGTAGTTACCTTCAATCTGGAGTAGGAGAAGGACGTTGGTTGGATAACATCACCTTCCAAATGAAGGATAGACCCCCGCAAAGCTCCAATGTTATTTAGGGTGTTCCTATTCCAGAGGTTCAGAGGAATGCCAAAGCATTTAAGCCAAACGTATCTCTCTTGCTTTATTTGAACTCCTGGTTTCCATTCCAAAACAAACTGGCTCCAATCTTTAAACAGGTCCTTGATTTTCTGGATATTTGATTGAAGCTCCTCCTTGGATTTGAAAGTCAAAATAATATCCCTGCCTCCCCCCTGTCTGACCATAACTTGAGCTAACTCATTATCCTTCAAGGCAGATCTGATACTGTTGATGTAGAAATCTGAGTTGAGCTTGATAATAACACTTTCGTAAAGCCAACCATGGCCATCTTCGTTGACTTTGATAGTCATGGTCGTGCCCCTTTGAAGAACCTCTACAAAAGATTTGTGGCCAGTTGATGGATTTGATCCTGTGCCTTTGTTCCGATTAACAGCTTCTCTGCTGGCCTGGGGCCTTCTCGTGCTGGGTACACTCCTATCATAAGTGGCATACTTGACTGCAAGGACCTTATCATCCACTAACAGTCCGTTTTCTTTCTGGATTGCTATATCTGATGCAACATGACAGTCGAATCGCACGAATCCGAATCTGGAGTTTGCCGCTTTCCTTCTCTTGAAAGGAATGAAAACATCTTTAACTACACCAAACTTTTTGAAAAGTTTACTCAGTGAGTTTGCATCCATAGATCTTGGGATATTGTCTACGAACACAGTATACAGACCACTCCTTGCGTCGTAGCCCCTAGATCTACCTCCTCGCCGTTGATTCACCACCGGGATCCAACCACCATTTCTTCCGAGCTCCGAATTATGGATTGTTGCCATAAAAAAAAAATCTTTTTTGTGCTGATATAAAGAATGTATAATAATAATGTATAATTGAAGAATAGATGTTAATAATGTACAACTAAAAAGGTGTTTTAGAAAGATGCTTAAAAATTGACTTTTTTATTTTTTATAAAAATATGTAAAAAATTGTGAGAGATGATGTGATTCAAAATTGATTAAAAATTGAGAAATAACTTTTAACTTACTTCTCAAAAGAAGCCTAAGAGAGGTAAGTATGTTACGTTTGTTTGTAGTTTGAGATGGTGAGTGTTAATGAAGTGAAAGATCTAAAAGTTAGTGTGTTCAAGTGGAATGAAAAGCTCTACAACATAGAAGAATTGCAAGGGTTGTTCATGTTTCGCATCAACAACACATCCAAGAAAGTGATTCAGATCAAACAAGGCGGTTGTGTTAAAGAAATCTTTAAAAAGTTTGAAGTGTCAATATTCGATCTCATGAAATTATCAACTCTGAACTCCACAGAACAGTTGGTTTCTCAAGGCATCCAAGGCATAAAATACTTTTCCGAAGAAACAATTTTGAATTTGATTAAAGTTGTACCTGTATACTTGCACAGTTGTTTCAAGTTCGACATTAAAACATCTCATCAAAAACCCACAATCGTTATAGCGGTAGATGTTTATATTTCGAGGACCACGAGCTATATGCGAAAAAGGCTTCCACGGAAACAAGTTAAAAGACAGAAAGTCGTGGATGTAAACAGCGAAAACGTTTCGGGAAAGTTTTCTGTTGATGAAGTTCAAGAGATTCGGGGTATGTTAAGGTTGCTTCTGAAGGAACCGATGCTTTTGTGGGTGAAACCAATATCGAACCAGAAGCGTCAAGGGCTTCACCAGGTTGAGGCCGCGATGAAGGTGAAGGAGTTGGAAGGTGATGGCAAAGAGGTAGACGCGTGTTCGATTTGTTTGGAGGGGATTTGTGGAGGGATGATGGTTGCGGTAACGCCTTGCTCGCATGTGTTCCACAGAGACTGCTTGTTCAAGTGGCTGCTAAAGGCTCGTCGATGTCCGTTTTGTAGATCATTTTGTGCTATCTTGGTTTAGAGTTTGTGTGATTCTTTGATCTTTATATGTCCTGTAGTCCTTTAAAGTGAACTGTCCTCTATAAAGAAACAATTTTTTATATTTTTTATTCTATAATCATTCTTTGACCTTTTTATGTTTTGTTTGTATTATGATTCTTTGATCTTTTTATGTCTAGTTGTCCTTTAAAGTGAACTTTCATCTATAAAGAAACAATTTTTTTATTATTATATATAATAAATAAAGGCTTCGTTTTAGAATAAATTTCTTTAATTTCAAGCAGTGTTATGCAAGTTTTCTAGGTGGTTCAAAGTATTTGGTCCTCGTTATGAAATAATTATAAAAACAGTGATTGATTAAGATTTAAAAAAAAAAAAAACAACAACAACAACAACAACAAAACAAAATTAAGGAAAGAAACTTATCGAAATTAAAGAGGATGAACAGAGTGCAGCACCAAAATTAAACTCTTGTCCTTAAGATCGATTAAGGCTCCATTCGGTGCAGAATGCAGATGGCTCTTGGTGATCATTCTCCAGGATACAACAGTTAGCTTCAACTCATTATCGAGTAGTTGAAGGAAATAGAAGAACAGAAGAAGAAAGCAAAAAATAGGGGAAGATTTCTGTCTAGTCTTCTTCATTTATTTGTGCTTTTGTTATTCTTTTTTGATTTGGTACACGAACAAATGTTTTTCTTGCTTTCCATCCAATGTCTCAAATTAACTAACAGCATAGCCTTTCCAGATTTTTCATTTTTGATCAGCAACAGAACAAAAAATTTTAGTGATGAAAATCAAAGGCTGAGTGCATAAACTATCAAAGCAAGCAAGACTATCCAAACTACGCTGACACCGAATTACCAGATTTTTCATGGATTATCTTCTTGATATCCAAGCAAGCCTTTCCAGATTTTTCATGGATTATCTTCTTGATCCAATAGTCTCAATGTCGGTATATTTCTCGCTACAGCGGCTCCTTAGAAGCCCCAAACTATTTTTTCGCTTAGTTTTTCAACATAATTACGACATTTGAAACAAAAAAAAAATGCAAGTAACAAGCAATGAATCAAACCTTATGAAGTATCAAAACAAAGAAAGCTAATTAAGAAAAATAAAACTGCAGAAGGACTCAAGCATGTTACATAAATCTGTGAATAAAGGCAATCAAAAGTAAATTCGACTTTCATGTTTTGCCTCAGAAAATTTACCACTAAAGATGTTACACTGAAGAATTGGTAATCACACTCACCTATCACCTATCTAAGAAGCACAAAATAGTATAGTTGATAAATAGAAATACATTAACGGTAGTGCTGATGCAATCATAGTCTTGCCAGTGTTGCTATGGATGCATATAGAAATCAAGAAAATATGTAACAGGTGTCAAGAGATATGTGTTGATGTTAATGTAGTCTTGCCAGAAATGCTTAGTGTTTTTTTTGTTTTATCAGAGAAAAAGAGAGATTTTATTGATGCGGAGAAATTACAATGAAGCAATAATAGATCAAAGGCCAAGGTGAAAAAAAATGCATCATTACACAACAAAGATATAACAGAAGACAGAACAATGGTGGAAAAAACAGAACAAAGCACAACAAAATTAGTAGCAACGAAGAGCAGCCCATTGGAGGCATAAACAACATCTAATCAAGCAAAATCAGACCAGAATCGCTTGATAAAACAATCTATTCAGGTCCTAGCAAAGAAGGGTCAAACATATCCAAGACGGCTATGGAGAATCTAACAATCCTAAATCTGATGAAGATCCTGCAAAAAATCTTGGGTTGAATAGTCCGACCTCTTGTTTTTGCTTTTAACCCAAACTTTTTCCCAATTAAACACCGTATTGTAAGAGATGCAATTGTTCCTTGCCTTCTAAATAGACCAAAATACTGAGAAGGGAAGGGCCTTTCAACTAAATAGA